CTTCCTTCCTTCCTCTTCTCTCTCTCTCTCTCCTCTTTCTTCTTTCTTTCTTTCCTTTCTTTCCTTTCCCTCTCTCTCTCTCTCTCTCCCCTCCCCTCCCTCCTCCCCCTTCCACTCTCTCTGAAAAGCAATGGAAAAAATATCCTCCGGTGAGGATTAAAAAAAAAGCCAAGAACTTCCAGGAGGTGCTGATTAATGATGTTAAGTCAAGCAAGTAGCTCAAGTGGGATAAGAAAACAGGCCCTGACTTTGGCAATCAAGTGGGAGTTGCTGACTTTTGCAAGAACAGGTATTTAACGGAGATGTGGTCGGAATGATGAGATTACAAACTGGAAGAATAGTTAACAAGAAATGAACCAGAGGCAGTGGAGTGTAGACTAAGCTTTGAAAAACTTCGGAGGGGAAGGGGAAAAAGGGAAGGAGAGACGCAAGAAAATAGAAAACAGTTTTCCAGATATTAGAGGTGTGAGTTGGGAGAAAAAGATGGAAGAAAAGAGCCAGTGAGGAAGAAACTGAAGACACAAGATAAAGAGAGGATGACAGACCAAACAAAGTGACAGGAGAGTCATAAAATATCTGAACAATTAGTAGAAAACACCACATGTGAAGATAAATATGTTTTAAGGGGAAGAAAGCTGACATGAATACAAGACCAGTGTCTGCCTTCTCTGTGAAGTGAGAAGGATCATCTGCTAAGTGAAAGGTGGTGAGATAGGAAGCTTACAAAGTTCTTAAAAAAGATTTAGAATATTGCTTTGGAAAAGAGCATGGGGCTAGTGGCACCTTGAACCCAACACACCCAGAAAGAATTTATCTTTTGTCCCTTCAAACGACCAATTCCTCTCATGTTCCCTACTTGTAATAAAGGCAATGCTTTTCCCTTGGTCACCAAGCAATAAAATTGCAGTCCCTTGGAGTCCTCCTTCTCCCTGCCTTTATATCTAATCAGTTGTCAAATCGTGAAGATCCTACTTCTGCAGGTCTCTTTCATCAGTCCCCTTCTTTCCATTTCACTCATCAACACCTTACTTTTTGCAGGGCACATAGGTAAGTGTATTAAGATTTATAGAGTAGATTGTGATATACTGTATAAGGTACGATTAATATTATGATAGAAGTACCCAAAGGGTGCTGTGGAATGCTTCCCACACCAGACAGCCAGGAAGAAGGGGATGGGGTGAAGGGTAGTGTAAGGATCAAAACAGAGCCGTGAATCAACAAAACCCCTTCAGCAAACTAGGTATTTTAGTGCAGCCAGAGCCTAGGGTGGGTATTTGTCAGGGAGCAGTGAGAACTGAGCCTAGACAGAGTTGATAAGAATCTTCATATCTCAGAAAAAAGTGAAACGTACACAGGCAAATTCATTTTCCCTTCTTTGCCATGCTATTGATGCAGAAACATTTCTCAGATATACAGCAAAAATCAGTATTTACACTTTCCAGTCTCCCGAGGGAAGGAGGTGAAGCTAACCTCTAGATAGCTAACATTTCCCCCCTTCATGTATTTTTACCCACTTCAGCTGGAAATCTTTCTTAAAAGTGTGATATTTTCCCCCTTGTTGAACAGATTATATGAAACCGAATGGCACAGGAAGATCTCTGTTCTAATCCCAGCTCTGCCACTTACTAATTGTGTGATCCTGAGCAAGTTACTTATATCGGCTGAGTCTTAGCTGCTGCCTCTTTTAATTGGGAAAAACGTCTTCTGCCCTGCCTACTTCACTGGGGTTGCTGCGAGATTAAATGTGTGAAAGTACTTTGTAAGATGTAAAACACCATACAAGAGTAGGTATTACTATAACTTAAGAAAAGGTGGAAGATCCAGGTATCTTTAAGAAGATATTATTTTACGCTTCTATGCCATTGACACTTCAGGGTCCATTAGCAGGTTCAGCCCTTATACTCAGCCACAGACATTTTTTCTTTTTAGAAAATCTCTGTCTGCTTTTCAGTTTTCCCCTCTCTCCCTTTGCTAGCAGCTGTCAGTATACCTTTAACACAAATGTACCTCTTCTGATTTGCTGCTTCTCACACACTACTGAGTTGGAAGCTTATTATAATTGTGCATAAATTTTAGATGATTCAGAGGTCAGAGAGGCTCTCCTATAAATAAACTGATGAACATTTGTGCACAGACTATGGAAATCTAGTTCAGCCATTTAGAGGTCTGTTTGCTTACATCTCAGATGTCTTCCAGAGCACTGCAGCTACAGCATAAGTGGGCTCCACATGTGAAGTGCTGCTATATAAAACCTCATCATAATTTCTCCCAACGCAACCAACTAATAAGGTGATCCCCAACAGCTCTGGCAATATAGAACAGTCACGATCAGCAACTCTACTGAGAATACAAATACAAGCATTTTAAAGGAGCCTTTCTTTGGATAAACAGCATTGACCAACAGAAATAAACACTCTGCCCACCATTTATGCGACAAATCAAGGCCACTGCTCTGTTATAATTAGAAGTTAATCCTGACTTACCTCACAATCATGATGCAAGTAGTGACACAAAACAAAGAACAATGTTTAAAAATACAAAGTTCCACGGCCAAGAAATATTTTGAACCAGGTCTTTTCTTTGGCACTGAAAGCCAAAATTGGCCACAGTGCACACAAGATAGGTAAAATAATTTTTCTTCTGTAAACGATTGTGCATAGCACATGATTTTAAGAAAGAACTACATTCGAAGGTGTTCCCCGCAATGGAAACCACTAAGGATACTTACGTCCAGGTTGTGACGGCTCATAATCGTCGTACTATTCCTCCGAGTTCTAAATGCGTAAGGCTGAAAAACCTGTGAAAGGTCACTAAAAATTTTTAAAAAATGATTAATGTCTTCTCATTTAAGATATCCTTCAACTATATCAACGTCAATTATCTAGTTAACAATGAAATCCTCTATGGCTCCTCATATCGCACAGTGCATAACTCACCTTCCTCTTCAGAGCCTCCTGAGTGGTGTGCTGTGGATTACAGGTTGGCAGAGATACTAATCTCCCCAGTGGTTGGGGGGCAGCTATGAGAGGTATGGGGCGGAGCTCCAGACTGGTTGCCTCCAACTGCTTCTGCTCAGAACTCC